ATGATGGATGAGGAGACTTGCCCAGTTTGAACTAGCTCTCCCTCGGTTGTCTAACCCACCTAGTCTGATAAAAATCGGAGCCCGAGTAGCCTTGCCTTCCCTTATCTATCAGCCACACATATTATGGCGGCTCCTCTCTAGATCAGTGCATTTGTCATAAGACTGGGTTTATTTTAGTGGCCTAAACAGTTGGGCCTATAAGACCTAACCTATAAGAGCTATTTACAATAACATGGATTTATACTCAGATATCTACCTTTACTGTTTCACAAAGAGAAAGGGAATGTCCACATTTTAGACTTAAGTTGCAGGATAGTTTATTAAGGGAATTCAAAAGGGGCAAAACAAAAACAAGATTCAGAGAAATCTAAAAATCTGTTTTTACTGAAATTAAAGTGAGCTAAAAATGGCATTCAAAAAGCTCACAAAAATGACATTTGTTTTGTTTATTAACTTTTCATGTACATATGCATTCAAAACCTTTTTTTTTAGAAAAAGGTTGAACTTTATTTTCAGACTTTATCAACATATTCAAATAAGTGTAAAAAGGGCAATGAAGTACATTCATGTGTTCACTTTCGCAATGAAAGAATGTGCGGTTTCAATAGGACTGCTTTTAAAAATTTCAGTCTAAGTGAAAACTGTGATAATTTTGATATTAATGTGGATGGGTTTGTATCATTTCTTCTGCGCAAATTTACAAAATGATCAATAATGCTTGAAAATATATTTCTTATATACTTATATACTTATGTGTTTGTACAGAAGGGAAAGGATGTACTTCTTGGTGTGAAGGAAGATGGAATTCCAAAATATTTGTTTATTTTTCAATGGACATTTAAGGTTGACAAAAGTTTAATGACATTTTCACTTGGTAGAGAACCACCAGTCAGTGATGATTACTCTGGAAGGGTTGAGAAGTTTTCTGTGAGAAATCACTCTGTGAAACTGAAGAATCTTCAAGAGGCAGACAGTCGAGTTTATACTGCACAAGTGATAGGGCCTCAAGCTAACTGCCAACTTTCTGCAGACGATGCAGTTATACACGTACCAGCTAAGTCACCTGGCGTAGCAGCAGACACCTTAACCGTACATCTAAATGATGTCCAAAAATGGCTGGAACAAAATCATCTTGTACTGAATTTTTAAAAAAAAACTGTTTCTATGTGTTTTTCTATTAGGAAACAAAGTTCATCTGATGATTTTAAAATCAAGTTAGGGAACGAAGAAATAAAGGAGGTCAAAGATTTTAAGTTTTTAGGAATAATTTTAGATTCACATCTTAAATTTGACAAGCATGTAAAGAAGATTTCTAAGATGGTCAAGGCTAATCTGAATTGTTTTAAGTTAATTCGGCACTATATACCCACTTCAGCAGCTCAGTTATTTATGCATGCCATGATATCCTCTCGTTTTTCATATTGCATGACAGTTTGCACCCAAGCAGCACCATCTACAATTCAGCCTTTGGTGTCCTAACCAATCTTTAAAAATAATGAATAAAAAATCTGTTCGGTGGCATCACTGTCACATTTTAAAGAAATATAATCTACTTAGTTTTAGGAGTTTTAATCATTTGTGTTTTCTTAAATTAGTTTTTAAATGTATAAATAGGATGGC